TGCGATATTCCCAGATAACAGCCGCTAAAAACAGAAACATAGGCTCAGTATTTCGTGTCTCATTATGTACTTGTGTATATCATTGCGTACATTATGTGGCAAATATCTGTGTTATAAGCGGGATAATGTACATCCAGCCGGTTGTTATCTCAGAATAAACCCCTTCAGGTGTGTGTGTGTGTGTTCAGGCTGATGAAGACCAGATCCTGAACACCCTGTCGGGTTTATCAACGCCTGCGATATGTTATGGCGCCGTTTGATTCATAAACAATATTTATATTTAATATTTATATTTAAACAATATGAATGTAAGCCAGAGGAGAACTGGCCCCCGACTGAGCCTGGGTTCTCCCAAGGTTTTTTCTCCATCCAATCTGATGGAGTTTGGTTCCTTGCCACTGTCGCCTTGCTTTTGGCTTGCTTTGAGCTTGCTCAGTTGGGGTTATTTATTTAGTGTTTAGCAATGTTGTTGATCTGTGTTGTGCTACTTACATGTTATCACTGTGAAGCTGCTTTGATACAATCTGTATTGTGAAAAGCGCTATATAAATAAATGTGACTTGACTTGACTTGACTTATTCTGGCTGGATGTGCATTATCTCTTATTGGGAACTCTGGATCTAAAGCAAATTCTCCAACGCCTTCATTTATAACCGTTGCGTCGAACAAAACAGGCCGTGAAACAGTTCCCACGCATTAGTTGTCATTTATAAAAACAGATGAAGGAAAACCACTTTAATATTCATTATGAGTCCTAATCATAAATACTATGCATGTTCACAACAACAGTTTAAATAAATGAAAGAATGATTTCTGATCTGATTCATTTAGACTAAACATGCCATTCTCATTAATGGAGTTAAAGGTAGGGTTGGGTATCGTTTGAATTTGAACGATTCTGATTCCGATTCCGATTCCTTGTTTCGATTCCGGTTCCTAACGATTCTCGATACCGATTCTTTTAAGAGGCAGGGTCAAAAAAGTTTAGCTAACCTTGCTAACCAACGGCCTTTCTGAAGGAAATAGTCCTTTCTGAAGGAAATACTCCTTCTGTAAAAATAAATTTTGCCGAGATTTCGTTATTTTTAGAAAAGCGAAGCCACACTTTGGATCGCCGACCTAAGGTACTCATGTTCGACTCGCGTGGTTATGCCAACACTTAGGTAGACGCTTCTTCGTTGGTGTTGACGCTTCTTCGGTAGACGCTTCTTCGTTGGTGTTGTTCAGCGGTTTCTTCTTCCGCTCGGCGGACTGTGAATATCGAAACTAGGAATCGAAATTTTAACTTTTGAACGATTCCGGGAAAAACGAAAAGTTAGTCTCGGTTCCAATTGATACTCGATTCTCGATACCCAACCCTAGTTAAAGGAGTAGTTCACTTTAAAAAAAAAAACTTTTGCTGATAATTTTCTTACCCCCATCCATGTCATCCAAGATGTCCATGTCTTTTTTCTTGAGTTGAAAAGAAATTGAGGTTTTTCGATGAAAACATTCCAGGATGTTCTCCATATAATGGACTTCATTGGGAACCAAAGGGTTCAATGTCCAAAAGACAGTTTCAGTGCAAACTGTTCAAAGGGCTTTAAACGATTCCAGACAATGAATAAGGGTCGAAACGATCGCTCATTTAAAAAAAAAAAGGTTTAAGTTTTATAAGCTCAAATGTCGCCTTGCTCTGTTCTGTGATGCAGAACTGTTGTGACTCTCCTGTTCGAACTCGTTCATCAAAATGAATGAATCTTTTCCAGAGTCAACTCGTTCATTTGTTCGTTGAATAAACCAATGAAAAAAGTTTCGTTCATTTTGATAAACGAGTTCGAACAGGAGAGTCACAAACTGCATAGAAAAACGAGGCGTCGTAAGCTCATATAAGGTTCAATCTTTCGCTGACTGGGGTTATCAATGCAGGTTATGGCGTACGCACGGTTTTGAATATTATTTGGCTTTTGGGCTCACATACATTTTTAGTAAGGATCCTACACACAGTTTTATTAATGAGACCCCCTGATGTTTACAAGACAGTGTTTTTCTTTAACCGGGGTCAGATTAAATACACTGTTAGATGCACAATAGTGTCTACTGTACCTGAAACAAATACAAGCACTTCATTTACAAGCACATTTACTGGCCATTCTGCACCTATAAATGGACTCCATTAACCAGCCAGTTTAACACAGTCTCCACCAGCTCTCAACTAACTTTACCTAAAGGTTGAGTTTTGCAAAAACTCAAGTTAAGACGCCTGATTGGGATGCCAGGATCTTAACACAAAACCATGTTGGTGGTCTTCTCAACAGGGTCTTCACACCCCCCCAGTTCTCGTGCTTTTGAAAGCCTTCGGGAGCACGTATTCATGCCGGCTGGGCTCTTCAAAGGAGCCTCTGGATGGCAGGCCGCTCTCCCTGGAGATGACAGGAGCCGGATTGACTGCGAAGGGAGGGAGGGAGGTGTCGGTATTTATAGATGGCAAGTGATGGGACGCCCTCGTTAGCACAGGGCTCACTGAGCCGGATGACAGACAGGCCGCTGGGGTCATGTGACCACATTACTCACTCCAGTGCCCTGCGAGACAGAGGATGAACGAGAGGGAAACTGTAGGAGAGGGAATCAAGGACAGAGAGAGGCCGAGGGACGAGGGGGGAAAGTTTAGGGGACCACAAAGAATCAAAGCAATTATGGGTTCATCACGTCGCTCTTCTGCAGCTCTGGTAGAACTCGTGCATTTCCCGAGTACCATTTATGTACACAGTGGTCCATTTACCAGCTTAAACGGGATCAAACGGACGATGTTTGGAGATAAATGAGAGAGAAGAGAGACAGAGAAAGATATTTTGAACAAGCCTTCGTGAGGACCTTCCCACATTAAAGAGCTCGAGACAGGCAGGTGAGCCGAGACCGAGAGGCACTTTTCTTTCAACTTCTGCCACTTCAAACGGCCCCATGAGGAGGTGACACCAGGCACTCAGCACCACAAACAAAGGTGCAGGGGCCACGAGGGGTAGGAGCCCGACAAAAAAGACCCTTTGTGTCCCTGTTTTTGTAAAGAGTCACGCAGTAACTATTCCGCTTGGCATGAAATATAACAACACTCCTAAACTGGTGGGTCGTGATTCAGCTCTCAATCAGCAAATTATATAACATTCGAACTCAGACAGGAAAGTACTGTATATTAAAAGGCGCAGTAAGATTCACTTCCTATCTATTCTGTTGAAAAGCCATGCATCTGATCAGAAGTTTGGCTCAAATTCATCTGTCACTTGGTAGAAGCTTGTCAAATTAAACAGATGTCAACATGCACTGGTTTACCATGTATAAATGTCCAGTTTTAGGAAATATGACCCAGGTGGCATTATATTGGCAAATATAAGAGGCATAAACAAATCAAACTTTTTTTTAAATGAAAATATTAATAACATATAATTTATGTTATTGTGGCATAAATGTCTAAATAATATATAAATAATTGGGCTGTGCAAAAAAAAAATAAAAGTCTGTGTTTACATAATATATTTGTGTGTGCTGTATATAATTATTTTGTATATATAAATACCTATGCATGCATGTATATATTTAAGAATTATTTGCGCTTAAATTCTGTATATGTATATAAATACATAATCTATATTATATAAATATAAATATTTTATATGATATACGAATAACACATTTTCTTAAATATATACATGCATGTGTGTGTATTTATATATACAAAATAATTATATACAGCACACACAAATATATTATGTAAACACAGACTTTTATTTTGGATGCGATTATCCGCAATTAATTTTTGCACAGACCTAATAAATAATATATTATTTCATTTATATATTATTTAATATATTAAATAAAGTAATAAAATATAAACAACAATGAAAAACCTGCCATGAAACTGATTATTAGACAAAAATAGCATTATTGTTTACTTTTGTATGATACGCAAGTTTGGCTCTAATTTTGAATTGCCATCTAATGTAAAATCTGGATCCTGAAGAGAAACTGGCTGCATCCCCAAATGAATCTTTTCACATAAATCTCTTCATGTTGTTTGTGTATGAAAGTTAGTTTGAGCAAACACTGCTTTTTTTAAAACGTGACTGTAAAGTCACGAGAACACTAAAGGATTTATAGATACGATTAAAGCACTAGTCAAAATGGGAGGTCTGTTTTGCTAACGAGCAATGATTATAAGTTTAACACTGACATGAACTCTTTCATGCCCTTGTGGCTTTAATCAGACGACAGCGAGAACAACGAACAAACGCGGCTCGCTCTCCTTCCTCCACAGGGCTTCACGTACTGCACGGCAATCCCACGGTTAATGAGAACGAGAAAGGTTTCAGCTTTCCCATCCACTAGCCTGATTGAGGTTGTTTTGGTTGGATTAAGAGACTGCCTACCTCAGTTAACATTTGATTCACTCAGAAAGGCTTGTTCCAGCAGTTTCCCTCTGCAGTTAAAGGGTTAAAAATAAGGAAAAAGGACCCCCTCCGTCTGCAGCTCTTTTCTCTGAAAACTCCTCTGACCAGTGACCCACTCACCCACATCGTAAAGAGGTTTGGGGGTCACGGGTTCACAACAAGGTGAGCTGTGGGTGGCGTTTGGTTTCAAAGGCTTGATACTTCACCTCGGTTCTCAGCTCTCAAAGATCCAAATGTGGCTAATTAGCATTGCATACGAGAGGTGAGAGAAAACAAGCTAAGATCCCAATACCTACAGGACAGACTCTCCAGTTTATGTACACCCTCTATATTTTCTTTCCCAGATTATCTTGTAGCTCTTGTCGTTCCAGTTTGTTAGGCATGGGATTAAACAAATACCCCTAAATGAATCTGACTCAGTGTTTAGGCTGCTAATGTCACAGGCAAGAATGAGTTCTCGAAGTAAACCAGCTATGCAAGCTCACGTTACCATCCTCATCAGCTTTGACATTTCAGTTTAATGCACGATTGAGCGCCAGACAAAAACACATGGATGAAAGCGAAGGGAAAGTGTCTTACCATGCCATTGCCACATTCGGTCCCATCAGCGAGAGGCATGTGTTGCGTTCGACATCCGACATTGCCCTCCGCACTGGTGCACCAGAGACGCTTGCACTGTTTCTGCAATCGGCAAGAGTCACTTCAGTCAGAACTGGAGAAACAATGACTTGAACATTGGTAAATCAAACCCTTCCCACGTACCCGAGAGTTCCCTTGAACCCACTGACCAGAAGAAATAATAAACAACAGGAAAACCAAGCGTAGTCACGTTAGTCAACATCACGTCCACATCTTCATATATAATCTCCTTCAGTATTATCAGCAGCTACGCGTTCCTCAGGAGCTAATTACCCTACACCATCCCCAGCTCCACCTCACATTTGGCATTCTGATTTCCCTTGAATCAGACTAAATTCTCGAATTATGTTGTATATTAAAACATTGAATTAATTATATCTGCAATACATTCATGTTGGTTCTGTTTTGTTCATTGCTGCTCTCCTGCTCTTGTCCATGCTAGGATAACAGAACAGAACCAGACCACCAATCCAAACTGTATGCTAATTGTCAATCGTATTTGACGATAGTGGTCCTGACAGAAACTGCAGAGATAAAGACTTGAACAATATTTAAATCTAACTGTTGCAAGCAGGGCGGGGCCAAGAGCCGTGGGAACGGAGCGAGGTCGGATGCGCAAGTGCTAATGAGCGCCACACTGGACTCTAGTCCCACGGAGGAACTCAGGAAGGATAAAAAGAGGAGTGACAACAGTAAAGGACCAGAGAGGACCAGGCCTGGGACGTTTATGTTATGTTTTATTGTGTTTATATGCAACGGACGTCCATGAGGGGCTGCCACTTTCCTTTCAATTTGTTATTTGCTTATTTAGTGATTAAAGTTTTACGTTGAACTTTTACCAGTTCCCGCCTCTTTCTTCCCTAAACTTGAACATTGTTACACTAACCCTTCTCAAGTACCTTAGACTTCCCTTTACTCAGGTAGAAACCTAAATACAGTTGGGTCACTAGTATGGATTCAGATGGTCAGTTAATTCAGCTGTGAAACTACAAGAATCCAATGACTAGGGAAAAAATAATGGGAAGAAATAATGACTTGAATATTATTAAACCCATCCCAAGTACCTGTAAGTTCCCTTGACATGGGTACAAACCTAACTATAGTTGGGTCATTAGTATGGACAATGGATTAGTTAATTTAGCTTTGAGATTACAAGAACCCAATGACAAGGAAAACCATTTAGAAATAAGGACTTGAATATTGGTAAATCTAACCCTTTCCAAGTACCAGTAAGTTCCCTTGACTTGGGTACAAAGCTAAATACAGTTGAGTCACTAGTATGGACAATGGATTCAGATGGTTAGTTAAATGAGCTTTGAGACTACAAGAACCCAATCCCCAGAAGAAATAATGAGCAACAGGACAACTAAAGAGGAATTGGGTTGACAGTCTCCCTGGTCGTTAAATGACTAAACAGACTCCCAAAAGGATGACAGAACAATGCAAAAAGGAACACCCTATCAGGATCTCTTGCTAACAGGGTGGTCACTAAGTTAAGGTGTCACTGATACAGTACATTTTGAATCCATTGTCTAAGTATATTTAGATGTCGTACCATGAACGGACAGACTTGGTAGCCGGGACCGAACATGAGTTCACACTGCCGGTTGGCATTGTAGACTTGACCTGGCAGCTGGTTGGGAAGGTTATACATCCGGCCTGAGGGTTCGTCCAGGAGACATTCACCATAACCGGTGCTGAGAAGCAAAAACAGAGAGATATCCACACAATTAATCAGGTGATAGCTTTCTTCATCCTGGTGTATACCCTCAAAAGCCTGGGGTAAGTAGTATAATAAAGTGTCCTAGCAAGCAATAAAAGATGTCTAATAGCCGTCCAAACACATCCTTGACGTCTAGACTAAAACAAAGTGAAATTTAGGTTTTAATTTTATTTGATTGATAAAATTTAATTGACGTCTAACCATCGCCCAAGAATAGACTAGTCATCGACGCATATAACATGTCAAAGACATGAAACCAAACACCTTGTAATCACAGTTAACTTCGCTTAGATGATGGAATATCATACATCTCGCAAGTTATTTGGGCAAAAATTACATGTAACCAAATGTAATCAAGGTTATTTTGGCTAGAAGTGTGTTACTCATAGTTTATTACTCATACTGTATTGGTTATATATTTAACCAGAGAATGTCTAATTGAAGAGAACTGGCACTGGCTGGTAACTTCTGGTTTCTAGACTGGCTGCAGTAACATCGCAGTCGAGTGCAGAATGAATAGGAGTCAATGGGGTTTCACCCCCAGAAATCCACTTTTCTCAGGATGTAATTTTGTGTCAAGTAATTTGAAAGTTGCATTCAAAAGGAAGGGCTAAGATAATGCACTCAGCTGAAAATTGTATTTTTAAGTTCACTTATCTGTTCTAAAAATACGTTCAAAAATGTGATGACGTCACACAATAGCAGAATGCTAGCGTGTTCCGGCCAACAACAGCCTAACCTGTAAGACATCGAAAGGACATAAGTACTCGTTCATTCGACTTTTGGCCTATAATCTACATTGAACTTGCGGAATCAACAATAAAATCTATGTTGATTCAACGACAAGCAGGTGAAAGAGACACATTTAGCCGTTTAGCCCCATAGACTCCCATTCATTCTGCGCTCGCCCGCGATCACCTCCAGTGGAATTCTAATGCAACTGCAACCAAGATGATGCACAATGGGGCTAATAGGAAGTGCCAAGGCTCTCCGTTAGACGGGCTCTGATTTAACCTAGATGGTGAAATGATAGCTATTGCTTGCTGGGATTTGTTGTTATTTTGCATCAGTTGTCAATGGATAATTTGAATGCAGTCTTTTTGATTTCACCATGCATCTGAAGGCCAAGTGTAAGAGGGTGGCAGCGTTGGGTGGTCTGCTTTGTTACCTGCTGATAACTGATTGAATGGACTTAGACAACACAAAGGCCTCATTTCAATGGGGGAAAAGACGGTGTTCTCTAACAATGGTGGGTCTCCAAGAATCAACACAACGGTGCCAAAACCAACATTTCAGCACATCAGTCCAACACGCCTTCAGCTCCGGCTACGTCATGACATATATGTCCCGCCACACCCTTCCTTTGAAACACATAAAAGAGCTACAAAAGAGCAGCTGTACATTGAAGCTCATTGAATTGTTGGGCTTAACAACTCTGAATGGCTCTTTCAGTCGTCGGCACCAGAGAGGGAACAAAACAAACCTCTTGACAAAGTCCTTTCTCCGTTTGCCTTCCGCATGCTCACCTTTCTGCAAGGGAGAACGGAAACTGAAGCTCAGAATAGCCGTGTGATGCAATTATGCGAGTTCTTGATGTTGCTGGTTCGATTTGTCCTTGGCTTTGAGACTAAACACCTGTGTCAGTTTATTTTACCTCGCTCACCCTCTGAACAACCTACAAAAAACCTTTGTCTTTCTGAGGGGAAAAACGAACACTACTCGAGGGGTGTCCTTTTGTGGGACTCATTTATCCATCAGAGTTACGATGACAGCGCAGAGAAGCGGCGTGCGCTCTCGTCTTTCCGCACCTCGTCATCACCAGTTATGAGTTTGCTCATAAAATCAGCAAGACTGGAGCTGACAAAAACCTTTCACAGGAGTATGTCAGTCCAAAGCTCTTAAAGAGCGATAAGATTACAGTAAACCGAGACCATCAGATCTCTAAGTATCTCTCAGCTACACTCAAGTGAATGTGAGTGTGTGAATTCAGACTCTTTCACATGATTAGAACTGCAAACAATGAATACTGAACAATATGCATCCTTACACTAAAAGGCAGTTCGCCCGAAAAACGATAGTTGTGAATTAAAGAACGTTGGGGGTCCAAAAGAATTTGGAGCCCATTGGCTTTTATTATATAGACAAAAGGACAAAAAATATCTTATTTTTGTGTTCCACAGACACAAAGTCAACATACAGTAAGGGGGAGTAGATGATGCAAGAATTGTATTTTTAGAGGATTTATCCTTTTAGGGAAGGTTTATCTATATACCATTGTATTATTGTGGTTCTCCAACGAACTGCATTGCAAAAAACATGTTACTTTTTTGAAAGAACATTTGTGCTTATCAAATGTTGTGGTTGATCAGCGAGCAGGTTTCTTTGAGTTCAGGTCAGGCTGCGCCCTTCTGGCACAGGCATGAAGTCCACACCTGGAGATCATTTGGGCGGGTTGGTAAAGTGAGTTTATTAAGGAAAATGACTCACAGTTATTATGACTGAAGGTTTTTTGGACATGTACCATGGTACCTTGGAGAAACAAATAAATATCATGGTACATAAATACACTAATCATTCAGTACACTGGTATTAGTGCCATAGACACCATCGTTTTCTCAGTTCTGTTGACAGATTAAAGGTCTTTCAATGTCCATACGTCATTCTAGCCCACATAAAAATAACATTCATATATTTTCACCACTTCATAAACACATATAACTTCTATAAGACGTTATGTGAAGCATGTGTGAGCGAGCAACAGTTACCGACAGTCAACCGGCCTCATTTTCATTAGTAAAGTGACGTTTTGGTGCAGATCCAAAGGGACTTGATATATTGTGAGTTTTAGCATGAGAATCAAGCCGGTAACGGTTGATTCGCCCTTGAACAGAGCGGGAACAGAACGAGACGTTCCTCATTTCTCAGACATTTAACAGCTGCTTCTAAAAGGCTCAATGAATGTCTCAGCTAATTATAAGAGAAGCGTCTCGAGTTGGCGCTGTATTGTAGGTCAGGCCGTGGAAAATAACAGGATTTGCCAACATTTAGGACGTGCAAACTATCTTTAATGCGACCAATTCAACTGCACATTTCAGTAAATGTAGTTTGTTTTTGTTCTCAAAATCACAGCTTTTCCAATAAATCGATTATTGCATGACAAAATTCTCCACTGTTTTTTGTTGTATAGTAACTTAACAGCTGAGTACACCAAGTTAATGATCAAACATGCTAATCTAAACTGCCTTGGGATTCTGAGAAGTCATTAAACGATCAGAAAAAGCAGTACCTGAGCAACATAATATGCTTTACAATGCAGCTGTGGCTTGACAAACCATTGCCATATGATGATAAATACTACACTGAAGAAACATGTGCCTCAGTCTTGTTTTCCAGCACAAATATCTAACCATTCTTAAATCAAGAAAAACAATCACTGAACATGTTAAGTCTTGTTTGTGCTTAAAACAAGAACAAATATCTGCCAATGGAGTTCTCCCTTTTGAATTAAGTTTATTTTTGTGACCCCACTGGCAGATATTTGTTCTTGTTTTAAGCATAAACTAATTTTTCAGTAAGCAAGACTTAATAACTTCAGTCATTGTTGTTCTCCAGTAAACGTGCCTTGATATAAGAATGTTTAGATGTTTGTTCTGGAAAACGAGACTTAGGAAGAACACCATGTTTTTGAAGTGTACAGTCTCGTGTAAGTGTGTGTGGTGGATGCAGTGTTTCGGTGAGTGTGTGTCTGTTTAATCTCCTCACAGGAGAGTGTTGCGTCTTGAAGAGCTCTTAAAGATTGAATGGACAGTCAAAACACAGAAGCACTTGAGGTTTCTGCGGCTCTGGAGGACTCTCAATGCTTCGAATATGCATGTGCTTTCCTCTCATCAACACATCTCTGTCAAGAAAACAGTTTGTGATCAATTCTTTATATTTTCTCTATAGCAAATAGACAGCGAACAGAGACATTTGGGGAAAAGACCTAAATAAGAAAAAATCTCAGTATCTTCTCAATGATATCTAACTCAGATAAGCTGTGAAAGAGCAACGTTTGAGCAATAAAATTGTCCTCCTACTGAAGAAGTCAACGAAACTATCAAGCAAAGGCACCTGACATGAAAACGACTGTCTTAAAGTCAACATAAACATGTTTATGAAGCATTTTACTGATGCATTTCTGAGTGAAAGAGTGATTGAGGAACAGATACGATTTTATTAACTAGTCTGAAGTCTAAAAAATGCTTTTGACTATTAGTGAAATCCTTTACTTAAGGTTCATATTTTAATAATTTAACAACACATTTGCAAGTTCAAGATTCTCTAATGTTCAACTAATAAACATTGGTATTATTATTATTCATATATTTAATTGACATTTTATAATTTCATTAATTATTAGGTTAAAAAAAAAACTTCCTCTGTGTTTCTGTCTCGTTTTCCAGCACAAATATCTAAACATTCTTAAATCAGGATACATTTACTGGAGAAGATCAATGAGATTGTTTAAATAAGATTTAAGTATAAATTAAGTTTCTGACCCCACTGATATTTGACAGACATTTGTTCTTGTTTTAAGCATAAACAAATTTTTCAGTAAGCAAGACTTGTATCTTCACTCATGTTGCTTCTCCAGTAAATGTATCTTGATTTATGAATGTTTAGATGTGTGTTCTGGAAAACCAGAGCCCGTGCGCTGGTCACCCGTGATCCTAACCCTGATCAACAGGCGTCTCACCGGCAGAGTCACTGGAGCGGCGAGAAGATCAAAGCGTTGAGTCTCCGGAAAATCTAATTATATCTGACACTTCCTGTCTGAAAGGGAAGCGGCCTCAATGAGCCGTTGCCCCTGGTTACGGTTGCCGAGGGCCAAGCACGACGGCCACTAAAGGCCTGTTTGTCCGGCACCTCGAGAGAAAGCAGACGACAGTGAGACAAGAAGAGCAATTTTGAGCTCTAAAGAGCGTGACCTGTTGAGGATTTGCTCAAAGGTCATTTTAACTTTAAAAACACAACGCTGACAACTGATATTACACCAGTGACGGCCTGCTGGGGAACGGCTGTGTTCTGGGTCATGCTTAACCAGATGCAGCTTAAAGGGATAGTTCACCCAAAAATGAAAACTCTGTCAGTAATTACTTACCCCGCAAGACTTTCGTTCATCTTCGGAACACAAATTAAGATATTTTTTTTATTAAATCTGAGAGCAGGATCACTCCTCCAATACAGAAGCACTGCGCAGTTACACAACGAAAACTCACTGATATTAAGAGCTAAGAGCGTGATGTCACTGATATATAGAGTGTGATGTCACTGATATATAGAGTGTGATGTCACTGATAAATATAGAGTGTAATGTCACTGATATATAGAGAGCGTGATGTCACTGATATAAAGAGCTGAGACTGTGATGTCACTGATATATAGAGAGCGTGATGTCACTGATATGATATATAGAGAGCGTGATGTCACTTATATATAGAGAGCGTGATGTCACTGATATATAGAGAGAGTGATGTCACTGATATATAGAGAGCATGATGTCACTGATATAAAGAGCTGAGACCGCAATGTCACTGATATATAGAGAGCGTGATGTCACTGATATAAAGAGCTGAGACTCTGATGTCACTGATATATAGAGAGCGTGATGTCACTGATATAGAGAGAGCGTGATGTCACTGATATAGAGAGGAGCGTGATGTCACTGATATATAGAGAGCGTGATGTCACTGATATATAGAGAGCGTGATGTCACTGATATGATATATAGAGAGCGTGATGTCACTGATATGATATATATATAGAGCGTGATGTCACTGATATTATATATAGAGAGTGATGTCACTGGTATATAGCGATATAGAGAGCGTAATGTCACTGATATATAGAGAGCGTGATGTCACTGATATAAAGAGAGCGTGATGTCACTGATATAAAGAGAGCGTGATGTCACTGATATAAAGAGAGCGTGATGTCACTGATATAAAGAGAGCGTGATGTCACTGATATAAAGAGAGCGTGACCTACTCCAGGAAGTCTGTGACGTGTTTGCGGCTGCATTTGGACCAGGACCAGGGGCTGGTGTCGTAGTTGAGGATAGGAGCCATGACGTGGAACTGGTGTTTTACTCCGTTCTCTCTGCACTTCGGACTGTCGTCATGCGGCATGTTGAACCTACGACACACACACACACACACAATCCAAAGCACTGAGTTCATGCACTTCCAGGATACAACACTGTGACTGTACTGAATAAATACCACCACTGCAAAACATGACGTTCTTCCTCAGTGTTTCTGTCTTGTTTTCATCACAAATATCTAAACATTCTTCAACAACAAGACGAAAATACTTTGGAAGTTACTATTATTTATTTACTATTATTTTGCAGTGTACCATATACAAAATCCATATTTATGTTAAGATACTGAGAAAAAAATCGTATCTTCTTAAGTTCTTATATCCAAAAAAACACATTTGAACCGTGGCATTTCCATTAGTGCCGTGATGTGTGACTGTCAACATAAAAACAAAACCTCTTTCATGGCAGAAAGGAAAAATCCGGAAATAAAGTCCGGAAATAAAAGCTTTATTGAGAAGAACTGGCGTCTGAAATAGAAACGCAGTGATGTCAGAGTCCAGAAACAGCTGTGTGTACGCAGATCCTTCACACTCCAGCTGTGCGGCTTCATACACACCTCATACACGTTTCATATGTCATATTCTGTCTGAATTGGTTTCATTTCAAAAACATGCTGATGATCAAAAGAGTTCTATATAGAACTCTAGGATTCTTGACTCAATTTGTAAGAACCCTCGATATAAAAAAAGTTCTATGTAGAACTACAGCGTTCTTGACTCAATTTGAAAGAACCAAAAGAACCAGATTGGAGATGTTGCTGTATTGTGCAATGAAGGGCTTCCTTTGGACATTTGCTTATGGAAAAGTGGATTTGTGAGGCGGTTTGACCTCGTCGTCCCACTGCATGGATTCCCTCCGCATGACTATCATTCTTACACACACACGGATCCACACTGCTTCGTTTATACAGAGAGAAACAGTGATGAGGCCGTGTTCTGAGCTCACTAATATGACACCGATCATTATCATTTAATGCAAAACATGATGATCTTCCTCAGTGTTTCTATCTTGTTCTCCAGCACAAATATCCAAACATTCTTGCATTTACTGGAGAAGAACAACGACTGAAGATATTAAGACTGAAAAATGCATCAAAATGAAGTGAGTTTTTGCTTAAAACAAGAAGAAATACAACCCAATGCAGTCAGAAAAATCAACTTAACTCAAAGGGAAACAAGATTTTTTTATTAGATTATTAGTTCTAGTTCCAACCACAAACCTTTCACATTTTTCAGAACTCAAGACTCAATATCTTCAGTCATATCTTCTCCAGTAAATGCCTCTTGATGTAAGAATGTTTGGACATTAGTGCAGGAGAACGAGACTGAGGGAGAGCGTGATTTACTGCGGTGTAAGCGTGAGGTCTGTGTTGTGTTCTGAGATGCGCCGAGTGTGTTTGAGAGAGACTCACACGTGTCCCAGCTCGTGAGCGATGGTGAAGGAAGTGCTCAGGCCGTTCTCCTCGCTGATGGAGCAGCTCCGGTACGGGTCGCACATCGTTCCCAGCTCCGCCAAACCTTCAGGCGCACACACACACACACACAACATTAGTCAAGTCTCATTCATTTATTCAGCGCTTTAACAATATAGAGTTTCACAGCAGCTTTACAGCGATGATAGGAGATTGCAGTAACAGGGAATTAACTAGAATAAAGTTATTGTCCAGCTAAAGTTAGTTTTGATTGATTCACTTCCGTCGCAAAGATCATTAGTTATTAACTTAGGGGCCGTTCTAATAGAAAACCCTTAACATGCTCCGGCCGCTCACTCACACACACACACACACAACAGTGTCTGGAGCTCGAGAACACCAACTCTGAAATAGATTATCAAGTGTTGAACATTTTGAAAAGCGTTATCATCTCCGTGTAAACTTCAAAAACGTGAACCTGTGAGAACGCTACATGTGTATTGCGTGTTCAGTCTATAGGTATGCGCGTTTGAATATGCATATATATATTTAATTTTACAAACTGACCTCAACAAATCACTTGTCCACCTTAAAATTCATAATCCAGAATTTTTTGTCACTTCCGCCTATCCATGTGAATTTTATCCATGAATCCAGTATACACCACTTTTCCACTGGAGGGATCGCTGGGACGCTTGGATGAGATTGCGGGCACTAAACACCTGCAGAGGTCCTGCACAGGCCCCTGGGTCTGTGCATTCATGACCACAGCTGGCCCTGTGTGACGAGCCGATGACAGGCCCATCAAGCTCAGCCGAAACACTGGTTCTGCTTCAGGAACCAGACTTCACGACAGGAACCAGATGAAGTGACACACTAATGAACACACTAATGAAAACGTCCTGTATATGGCCTATTATTATGAAAAACTAAAACATATGTGAAAAGATATGCAATATGTTGTATGACAAGAGCTGTTGTCACTTGACCAACAGGACTCAAAGATATTAAATTCATTAAAGAAAAACACCTGTTATGTCGCATTTTCAAAACTATGTTTTGTAACAGCGCCAGTGTAATATATTAGTGTAATAGTGCCAGTTTGATTTAATTCTGACTTATTCTGAGAAAAAATATTTTTTTTTTTAAATACGAAATAATACATTATGCAGATTTAGAAAGAAAAAAAACTCATTTTCAAAGTAATTTGAGTTAGAAAAAAAAAGCTAAGCACAATAAGTTTTAAATAATTAATTTGCATTTTTAAAACTTTTTATTAATGTGTGCCAGTCAAATCAAATTATGGGAAAAAGTGCTTTCACACAACTACACTGAAAAATTATATTTTTGCACTTTCAAAGCATTGTGCGAGCATTACCGAGCTGTACTTTACAGGTCTGGATGAAACAAAGTAAACCCTTACCTAACGTGTCACACTTGTCTTTTGCCCGACAGATGTCCTGCCTGAGAAACAAACACACTCATGACACAACACACACTACACAAGTGTTTACGCTTTAATCAAGTTCAATCCACTGCGTCGTAATGAAAATCATATGATCAAAGGTTTGACTTAAGTCAGGAAAGGTTATGAGATCAGAGGACAAGTTAAGGTCACCTGGTTATGAGAAGGGCCGTGTCATGATGACCTGGGTGACTGTCGTCCAAAACATTGTGGCTTTGTTGCCACGTGCAGAAGTTATGAAGTGTCGCAGTGGCATAGAAGTTTATATTCGGTCCTTCCTGAGGAAAAACACACACTTTGAACAAGTTATCATTATCGAATTAACAAAGCGAATTATTAGAGTTGATCGGAGCAGAATAATCACTCAGATGTTGCTCGTTTATGTCTCAGGACACTATTATTTCACTGATGTACCAAGCCTGTTTTTCCTAAACTTCCACACTAATGAGTCAATTCAGATCATTTGATGAGAGATTATCGAGATCATATTGAGATCTCTTAAGTTCTGATGGCAGACTTTGGGTCTTGAGCAAATCTGAGCACATTTTGAGACATTGTTTAGATCACGTCTCAAACTGTAGAAGAGACGTGAGAAACATCTGAGACTTCAGCAAAAGTCTCCATTTAATCTCACTGCTGTCTAGGAGAAACAACTGAGAACACAAAGAGATCTCATGTTGCTCGTTTATGTCTCAGGACACTTAATGCATTATTACACTAAAGTATCAACCTTGTCTCAAGTGTTTCCCCTAGACTTACACATAAATGATAAAGTTCAGATCATTTGATGACAAATTATTGAGATCATATTGAGAGTTTTGATGACAGTATTTGGGGTCTTAAGGAAATCTGAGCACAGTTTGAGACATTATTGAGGTTGAGAAATTACTTTTTCTTTTTCTCTAGAGACACATGTGGCTTCTCCATATAATCTCATCTGGAAGAAACCAATCAGAACTTAAAAAGGTCTCATTTGTCTTTTGTCAAAAGGATGTTTTCTGATGTACCTGTTCATTATGTATGACGATGAGTTTGACAATCATGATGTTGATTAGGTTTCCTACACTGGGGTCTCTGTAGATGGCAGCAACCTGAAACAAAAATACCCATAAACCACTGGTCTTCCAAACTGTAACGCTGGGTGAACTAAAAAACAAAACAAAAGGAGAGTTGGATCCAAATGCAGAAATTGTTTTAATAACAAAAAAAGCATGACCAACCAGATCACAGAATGAGCATCACCAGACACATATCCAACAAAGGACAACACCAGACTGTGGCCACGTTTACACAAAGCTGGGTATTTAGCAAAACGAATATTTTCCCCCACTCCGTTTTCAAAAATAACATCGTTTACACACCCGCATAAAAACGCCGTCGAGCGCCATCATAACTATGCCAAACCTATTGGCGGCAGTGTAGGGGTTAAGGATAAAGCGATTCAAGCCAATCAGAATCCTCAAAAACGACAAGAGAGAACCTAAAACGCCGTTTCTCCTAGGGATGGCTAACGCGAAACAGACGTTCCGAAGCTTTGCGAGATCCCGAAGCAAAAATGATTCGAAACACTGATCCGAAGCGTGATTCAAAACACCCACAGTCACGTGACAAAGGCTAAATGAAGCTTCTAAGTGTTTCATCAGGTGGAGTGCTCCGCCGAATCAGGGTTTGATTGATAGGTCGGTCGGGAAGGATCGCGTGAGCAAAGTGCACACAGAATGCCTATTCTTAAAGTCTTGTGCTGTTTTATGAAGGCAAAAACCCATATAATGGTTTCGATTTAAGTTAATTGGCAAAATATAACGCTAGAGACAATTTTTATACTTTTTACATCTCATGTTCGGCAAAAGCCAGACTCGAACTCGAGCACATTAATCGCTCTTTCAGGAACTATGCGCTCTACGATCTACGCCACTGTAGCTATTCGTGATAGGCCTGTTTTTGGTTAAAACATATATATATATATATATATTATCTCTATATTATCTCTATATTATCTCTAGCGTTATATTTTGCCAATGAACTAAAATCGAAACCATTATATGGCTTTTTGCCTTCATAAAACAGCAAAAGACTTTAAGAATAGGCATTCTGTGTGCACAATATCTCAGATTAATAGAAAGAACAGAAGAGAAATTAATATTTTTAAATAAAAATCTATAAGAAAGTGAGACATTGTGGCTTGATTTGTTTTATTAATATTAATTTTTCATGACCAAAATAAAATTATGCAATGTGAAGAGACTACAGGTTACAAGCATCATATATTTAAAAAATACACAATAATAAAAAAACACATTGTTGTAAAGGTTGTTTCAGATCAACACCTGCAATTGACCACTAGGTGTCACCATGGAGACGGGTGTCGAATTGATTCGAAGCCTCGAATCAATATAGCACATTTGCTTCATCTGTTTCATTGCTTCACAAAGCCTCGATCTGCCCATCACTAGTTTCTCCCAGTTCACACGACAACACATAACTGGCGTTTTCAGAAATCTCCACTTTGGCCGGAGTTTTTAGAAATAATCGTTTTCAGTGATAAAAACGCCGTTTTCGTGTAAATGAGAGGGCAAAACGCAGAGAAATATCTGCATTTTCCCATCGTGTAAACGGGGCCAGAATATGAGAAACACTGGGGAATATATACACACTCAAGGGGAGATTGGCAAACAAGACACCTGGGAACAATCAGGAACTAATCAATAAGATAAACTACAAAGGACTACAAACTTGGCACAGAACTGGAAATAATGTCCGCACAAGACATAAGGAACACAAGAGGAACACAAGACAAGAGGAACACAAGATAAGGGGAACACAAGACATATCGAACACTAGAAAAAGGGGAACACAAGACAAGGGGAACAAAACACAAGGGGAACACAACACAAGGGAAAAACAAGACATGGGGAACACAAGACAAGGGGAATGTAAAACATGGGGGACCCAAGACAAGGGGAACGTAAAACATGGGGGACCCAAGACAAGGGGAGCACAAGATGGTTGATCAACCAGAGGCTCTTAGTGGTCACTAAATCCAGACTAACATCCAGGGGTCTTTTGTATTTAATGGTTGTTCATTTTGTACAGCACATTGGTTTTAATTGTGCTTTATAAATAAACTGAAATTGAAATGTATCTACTGAATCGTGTTTGAGACGTTTTCCTGCCCAAAAGTCAAATGTCCTGCTCTAGATCTCCAAGACAAGGGGAGCACAAGATATGGGGAACCCAAGACAAGGGGAACACAAGACAGGAGGAACACAAGACACGGGGAACCCAAGACAAGGGGAACAAAACACATGGGGAACCCAAGACATGGGGGACACAAGACATGGGGGACACAAGACATGGGGGACACAAGACATGGGGGACACAAGACATGGGGGACCCAAGACAAGGGGAACACAAGACAAGGGGAACACAAGACAAGGGGAACACAAGACAAGGGGAACAAAACACAAGGGGAACACAAGACAAGGGGAACACAAGACAAAGGGGACAAAACACAAGGGGGAACACAAGACAAGGGGAACACAATACAGGAGGAACACAAGACAAGGGGAACACAAGACAAGGGGAACACAAGACAAGGGGAACAAAACACAAGGGGAACACAAGGCAAGGGGAACACAAGACAAGGGGAACACAAGACAAGGGGAACACAAGACAAGGGGAACACAAGACAAGGGGAACAAAACACAAGGGGAACACAAGGCAAGGGGAACACAAGACAAGGGGAACACAAGACAAGGGGAACACAAGACAAAGGGGACAAAACACAAGGGGAACACAAGACAAGGGGAACACAATACAGGAGGAACACAAGACAAGGGGAACACAAGACAAAGGGAACACAAGACAAGGGGAACAAAACACAAGGGGAACACAAGGCAAGGGGAACACAAGACAAAGGGGACAAAACACAAGGGGGACACAAGACAAGGGGAACACAATACAGGAGGAACACAAGACATGGGGAACACAAGACATGGGGAACACAAGACATGGGGAACACAAGACATGGGGAACACAAGACTTGGGGAACACAAGACATGGGGAACCCAAGACAAGGGGAACACAAGACAATGGGTACACAAGACATGGGGGACACAAGACATGGGGAACACAAGACAAGGGGAACACAAGACAATGGGTACACAAGACAAGGGGAACACAAGACATGGGGAACACAAGACAAGGGGAACAAAACACAAGGGGAACACAAGACAAGGGGAACACAAGACATGGGGGACACAAGACATGGTGAACACAAGACAAAGGGAACTGTTGATCAACCAGAGGCTCTTAGTGGTCACTAAATCCAGACTAACATCCAGGGGTCTTTTGTATTTAATGGTTGTTCATTTTGTACAGCACATTGGTTTTAATTGTGCTTTATAAATAAACTGAAATTGAAATGTATCTACTGAATCGTGTTTGAGACGTTTTCCTGCCCAAACGTCAAATGTCCTGCTCTAGATCTCCAAGACAAGGGAGCACAAGATATGGGGAACCCAAGACAAGGGGAACACAAGACAGGAGGAACACAAGACACGGGGAACCCAAGACAAGGGGAACAAAACACATGGGGAACCCAAGACATGGGGACACAAGACATGGGGGACACAAGACATGGGGGACACAAGACATGGGGGACACAAGACATGGGGGACCCAAGACAAGGGGAACACAAGACAAGGGGAACACAAGACAAGGGGAACACAAGACAAGGGGAACACAAGACAAGGGGAACAAAACACAAGGGGAACACAAGACAAGGGGAACACAAGACAAAGGGACAAAACACAAGGGGGAACACAAGACAAGGGGAACACAATACAGGAGGAACACAAGACAAGGGGAACACAAGACAAGGGGAACACAAGACAAGGGGAACAAAACACAAGGGGAACACAAGGCAAGGGGAACACAAGACAAAGGGACAAAACACAAGGGGAACACAAGGCAAGGGAACACAAGACAAGGGGAACACAAGACAAGGGGAACACAAGACAAGGGGAACACAAGACAAGGGGAACAAAACACAAGGGGAACACAAGGCAAGGGGAACACAAGACAAGGGGAACACAAGACAAGGGGAACACAAGACAAGGGGAACACAAGACAAAGGGGACAAAACACAAGGGGGAACACAAGACAAGGGGAACACAATACAGGAGGAACACAAGACAAGGGGAACACAAGACAAGGGGAACACAAGACAAGGGGAACAAAACACAAGGGGAACACAAGGCAAGGGGAACACAAGACAAAGGGGACAAAACACAAGGGGGACACAAGACAAGGGGAACACAAGACATGGGGAACACAAGACATGGGGAACACAAGACATGGGGAACACAAGACATGGGGAACACAAGACATGGGGAACCCAAGACAAGGGGAACACAAGACAATGGGTACACAAGACATGGGGGACACAAGACATGGGGAACACAAGACAAGGGGAACACAAGACAAGGGGAACAAAACACAAGGGGAACACAAGACAAGGGGAACACAAGACATGGGGGACACAAGACATGGTGAACACAAGACAAAGGGAACTGTTGATCAACCAGAGGCTCTTAGTGGTCACTAAATCCAGACTAACATCCAGGGGTCTTTTGTATTTAATGGTTGTTCATTTTGTACAGCACATTGGTTTTAATTGTGCTTTATAAATAAACTGAAATTGAAATGTATCTACTGAATCGTGTTTGAGACGTTTTCCTGCCCAAACGTCAAATGTCCTGCTCTAGATCTTCAACATCTTCCAGCAAATCCTTCAAATCCTGTCGTAAAACTGAGGCGATCCAAGCGGAAGTCATTAGTTCACCATAAATACCATGTTTAGAAGAGGCCAAAGGGGAAACTCAGACAGACTGATTCAATTACAGAGAGAGACAGGCAGCTCCACTATAAATCACCATCAGACACACTAATGCAGGCTTCTGATTGGCCGAGAGGACACGCCCACACCACTATGACATCATCAGAACAATAAGACTCAATCTGGGGTTTGTTTCCCATACAACACCATAACTCGCTGCTTCACTACAGTCGTACAATGCATCGTTGGAGAAATCCACTAGCTAGTCACGACTGTTCCCCAAAACCATTTCGTCACAAATTGGTCGTTCAGCCATGTTGGTTAATGATGTCACGCAGATGGAGGATTAATAACTACAATTAATGAATCTGTTCGAGATCAAATTATTGCAAGATGTTTTGCTATAAGTTAGACATGCATCTCGCGACCATAGTTGGCTAACAATGCTTTCGGGAAACGCACCCCTGAACATAAAAGGCAGTATAATGAACTAAATTCACTCTGAATCTCCAGTGTGAATGGGCTCTCACTCTTGCCATGGTATTCTCTGAAGGATCTGGTGTAAATATTGTCCATATGTTGTTTTGAACAGTTTTTACTCATTTATATCTGGATTTAAACCCAAAAACTGGCTCATTCATTTAAAATATATGGAGCGAAGTAGAGTGGGTGGTCAGAAGACCCCCTGATGGATCGTATCAAAGCACAGCCTTGTGGGTAAAAAGTCCAGCCAAGTTATTATGAAGTAAATCAGTGCATGAGGTATGGAACCAATTATTGATTAAAACTATTTAATAGACTTCAAAAAGACTGAACGCTCATGAGACCCACAGCAGATTTATGAGCTCAAAAACAAGACAAACTACAGATGCTTTCTCTAACAATAACACATAATTCTAACCTGATTACGAATTTTATGGTATAAGAGAGTGAAAAGAATAAAATGTTGATTTACTTACTACTGACATGATTGTGAGTATGTAGTGCTCGAGGTTTGGGCCGTGGTGCCGGAGCATCTTGGTGTCGGCCATGACCATGAGCTCCACGAAGCGCGGGTACGATAGGAAACGCTTCTTGCGTGAACGGGGAGCGCTGGAATCCTCTCGGGAACGAGCCGAGCGCTTCCGCATCGTTTCCTGTATCGACATCACTTCCTCTTCCAGAGTTCTGTTGCTATGGAGACTGATGTGATCGTTGTCGTGATGTTCTGTGGGAAAAGAAACACCCTTTTACTGTGTTACAGCACAAATTAAATCATTATATGATACAATATATTATAATTTAAATAATAATAATATTTTTCTAAATATATTTACATAGAAAAAAATTTTTAATAAATGATTCATGTGATATTTTACAGTTTATATTAAAATTTTAATATAAACATTACCATTTATTAATATTTCAGTTTCATTATTAATACTATACATATTGCAATATACTGTTATAATAATAATATTTATTATTATTATTATCATTATTATTGTTGATTTATTTCTAAATATATAGGTTACATATACAAAAAATAATGAGTTTCAATATAATACTTTAACTATTATAATATATAATAAAATCATCATCAATAATATCAAAAATAATATTGAAACAGACGTTTCCTCAGCAAACAGTGTCTTTGTCAGAAAACATCAGTGTATTTTTAGTCTGAGACTTTCTGTGAGATACTGTGAGGCCGGAGGAGGAGCGACTGATGTAAGCGCTGATACACACATACACACCACATGTGAGATTACATCAGAGCGGCTCGTGCTGGAAAACTGACTCCAGATCAGCTGACAGACATGATGCTGATGAAGCCCTGACAGAAACCACTGCACTGAGGCATTACCTTACAACACATGTGTGTGCAGATCTGGGTCTAGTGAGTGAACAGAGCGAGAGCGCTGCCAAACACACACACACCAAACACACACCTCCAGAGAATGAAGACGACACGCTTTACGAGGACATCTGCCGTTTGTTTATTCACACACACACACCAGCCCTCTGTAAACCCAGCGCACGGGTGTAAACTAAACACACTCATGCTCACGGGACAGTCGCTTTGACACAAGCCTGGACGTCTTCACACACTCTGTGCTGATCTAAACATGAGATCACTGATGGAAGGAACCAATAAATCATGAGAATGAGACTTTAGTTGAAGTCACCGGGACAGTCATAAACACACACACACCTAGACCGGGACAATCATAAACACACACTGAAACTACTAAATAATACTAAATGTTACTTCTAAATATACTGGTTACATTCATAATAAATTACATTTCAGAGTTTCATTATAATCATTAAAATATTACTATATACAATATTAATAACAATAATAAGGTCATAATAATACTACTGCTTATTCTTAATAATAAGTATATTATTAGGTATATATATTTATAAAACGGTTAGCTCCAATCCTTGATTCTGGCCAATAGCTGTGCTTTATTCATGATAAAACACGACTATGACCGCTTCACCCAACGGCTCCATACATCACTGCGCAACACTGCTTTCATGCATATTACACATTGGAGCGTCGTTGCTGTTCACGGTCAGGGACTATTTTTTTTTCTAGCGGAAGGAAGGCTTTTAGTGATTTTACTTCATGAAAGTTGCACTACTCATTTTTTTTTTTACTTTAATATTTTATTATTTAATATTGTGTGGTAACCATTTATCGTGAATTACACACTCCTGAACGGCTCTCTCGCTGTCACCCTGAACATTGTATAAGCATTAGTTCCATGTGTCGCTGAACGCAAGAGAGACTCTCGGGAGCGTAAACATCACATCCTTTCGATTTTTCCCTAATCCTTCACATACAAATCAGTCAAAGCTTTCACAGACAACCAAGGAAGTCTCTTTTTTTTAACTTTCGTTACAAGCTCATACATTTGTTCTTACATATACATACAGCCCGTTTAAGATGTTCAAACATCCGACTCTACATAAACTCGACATGGTTTTGAGCTTCTCTGGTGACAGCGAGTGTAAACGGATCCACATCCAGGTGTGGAGATGAAGCACTTCAACAGCCCTTATTATGGAGACGCATCTCTCAACACGTCTCACGACGAGCCAGACGCGAGATCAGCGCTGAGGAGAAGCACAGAAACTCACCCGTGCCGTTTTAGTGTCACTTTTAATAACATTTCGACAATGTCAATATTCCCTATATCTCACAGATTCTCATATCACATCACTGGGACTGATCCCAAACTGCACTACAGATGTCAGACTGCGACCCGTTTGCTTTAGAGGACGTTTATCTGTCAGACACACTCATGAGATCTGACGACAAACATGGCCCGTATCTCGTGAGAACAATCGCTTCAGAGATAAAGATACAGCGTTTGTTCTCCGCCGTTGTGTTTCAAACGAGTGCTTACAAGGAGATGACGAAGGCAAAACCACCCTCATCCTCTGGAGTCAGCAGACACAAACACACCACAACATGTCCATGCAGGAGTGAACTCACACGCCTCAATATCAACTCAATCGTTTCTCATCGAACGATCTTTACATTTATTTCACAGCTCTTACTTTCCTTTTTTATCAGTCTGTAGAAAGTGTGATCAGATACGGCTTGTCCACTTGCTGGTGATCTTTCTGTAATATCAAAGATACTATACTGTTCGAACTTGGATGAAAATGATTGGACTGAGAGACTATCTGGGATAGTGAACCACTTTAGGGATGCAGGATCCCTATCCCACTCGACAGATAAAGCGATGTGGAAATTCGGTTCGCGTAACAACCCCGAAGTGATAAAATAAAATAAAATTCTGTATCAAAATTTATAGGCAAGACGAGTAGTTTGTTGTTTAAGCATGGTTGTAGGGGATTACAAACCTGCGCACATATATTCAAACGCACATAACTATAGAATCAATTCTTAATGCGCATGTGAACGCCATCAGGTTCAGTTTAAAAGGATAGTTAGACGTAAAGACGATATAAATACTGTTCGTTTTCTCACACAAACCGCTCGTTTCGTGTCTTAGGCCATTAATGTGTACTTACATTTACGAGTCATTAAATCATGATTAATTTTGACTTCTCTGTGCATGCTCTTCGAGGTGGTGACCATAGACCTCCATTATATGACTAACAGAAAAGAACGGTTTGGCCTAAAAATTGAAAATACTGTGGAAACAAAGACACCTACATCTTGGATGCCCTTGAGGTAAGCTAAAACATATCAAAAATTAATTTCAAAGTAAACTATCCCTTTAAAGTCTGTTTAGAGAGAACATTGTCGTCATTTAATTACAAATGATCATTTCACCGGAAGTGAATCAATCAAAACTAACTTTAGCTGGAAAATAACATTATTCAAGAACCGCTATAAAACCAAACCTGTTACCTTAAATTATATTAAGTTTATCTCCATAAAGCTGCTTTGAAACGATCTATAAATGAGGTACTGCTAAATAAATGAGGATGACTTGACTAGACTCTGTATGAGCAATGCGCACTAACTGAGGCTGGAAGTGTTTAAGTGACCCGTCTCATGAACTCTACCGTCTGGAAGAAAGTACAGAACTCTCTTTTATAAACCGGTATCAGTTAAACTGAAAGTGAATGGTGTGTATTAATATGTTTATATATCAGGTTTTGGTGAAATGCTGGCTATGGTGTCCATTAAGAACATTTCATTTAATTCCTTGACCAGTGATTCGTTTGGGCAGAAAACTCGAAAACATTAAAGTTGATAAATAAACAAAACCCCTGAGAACTTCATTAGTTTACCTCATAAAAGAGTAAAAAGCAACCTTTGAGCAATACACATTCAGGGAAGCATAACGTCATCGCCAGTCCACTTGGCATTGTATAAACTGGGACAGTTGGCACGATCCAAACACATCCCATCTTCCCTTTCATCCTCCTCGCTCTCTCTCTCTCTGTCCAATCGTTGCTCTGGTTTAAGACAAGACTCCTCTTTCAAGCCAGACATAAAGAAGTGCCCCATCACTGACCCTCACAAAGACGGCTTTATGTGTCCGCACAACCTGGAGAGAAGAGTCCCTCGAACCAGAGAGCCTCAACACAGCAGCTCCAGCTCTTTTAGGAGTTATTAACACATAATGAGAAGACGCCAGTCTTAGTTTTCTAACCAAGGTTTGAGGATCACTGTGGTTGTAATAAATATGGGCGTTACAGAAGGTCACATGATCCGAATATGAAATTTTTACACAGTTTTTAAAGAGTCTTTTTGACTTGTTTTCCGGCTAATTCTTGAAAGATGATAAAGGGATATTGGGTTTGTATTGGGAACAGTGATGGAGAAAGTAATGCGTTACAAAAGTGCATTTCTCCCTAAAAAGTGAAAAAGTAACAGATATTTTGAACTACATGTAAAAGTAATGCATTACTTTACTAGTTACCTGAAAAAGTAATCTGATTACATAACTTGAATTACTTGTAATGAGTAATATCATTTTTGTAGTGCATTCGAGTTCACTGAAACCCTTTAAATGGGTTAGTTTAGTGTCTGCAGGCTCAGATCACTGAACACACAGACCCAGCTGTGTGTCATGCACAAAAACAATTACCAAACTACATGAAGCGCTTCCCCCATAAAGCCAGAGGATCCTGGTTAATCTGTCTGCCTTTGCAGCATTCATCTGGAGATCTGCCACTCCTCAAACACAAAACAAACAGAGCCGCTCTGAAACTGAGCTGTCCTGGCAACTCTGAAGCCAGCGAACGCACTACGCCAGATTAAGTCCAGACGGCAGCGCTGGCTTGGGCGTGTGTGTGCCGCGAGCGAACTGAGCTTAAACGCTTCTGGATCTCTGGCACCGGCGGGAGGAGAGGCGGTGGGCGGCAGGTGCACGAGCGCACAGGTGATCAACCTCACGCACGACCCTTTAAAGGGGGAGTTCATCCAAACATGAAAATTAGCCCATGATTTACTCACCCTGAAGTCATCCAAGGTGTACATGACATTCTTCTTTCAGACGAACACAATCAGAGTTATATTAAAAAATGTCCTGGCTCTTCCAAGCTTTATAATAGCAGTGAATGGCTGTCCAAGTCCATAAAAGTGAATCTATCATCATAAAAGTGCATCTGTCCATGATAAAAGTGCATCTGTCCATCATAAAAGTGCATCTATCCATGTTAAAAAAGCATCTATCCATCATAAAAGTGCATCTATCATCATAAAAGTGCATCTATCATGAAAAAGTGCATCTTTCCATCATAAAAGTACATCTGCCATCATAAAAATGCATTTATCATCATAAAAGTGCATCTATCCATCATAAAAGTGCATCTATCCATCATAAAGTGCATCTATCCATCATAAAAGTGCATCTGTCCATGATAAAAGTGCATCTGTCCATGATAAAAGTGCATCTGTCCATCATAAAAGTGCATCTGTCCATGATAAAAGTGCATCTGTCCATCATAAAAGTGCATCTATCATCATAAAAGTGCATCTATCATGAAAAAGTGCATCTTTCCATCATAAAAGTACATCTGCCATCATAAAAGTGCATTTATCATCATAAAAGTGCATCTATCCATCATAAAAGTGCATCTATCCATCATAAAGTGCATCTATCCATCATAAAAGTGCATCTATCCATCATAAAAGTGCATCTGTCCATCATAAAAGTGCATCTGTCCATGATAAAAAAGCATCTATCCATCATAAAAGTGCATCTGTCCATGATAAAAGTGCATCTGTCCATCATAAAAGTGCATCTATCCATGTTAAAAAAGCATCTATCCATCATAAAAGTGCATCTATCATCATAAAAGTGCATCTATCATGAAAAAGTGCATCTTTCCATCATAAAAGTACATCTGCCATCATAAAAATGCATTTATCATCATAAAAGTGCATCTATCCATCATAAAAGTGCATCTATCCATCATAAAGTGCATCTATCCATCATAAAAGTGCATCTGTCCATGATAAAAGTGCATCTGTCCATCATAAAAGTGCATCTGTCCATGATAAAAGTGCATCTATCCATCATAAAAGTGCATCTGTCCATCATAAAAGTGCATCTATCATCATAAAAGTGCATCTATCATGAAAAAGTGTATCTTTCCATCATAAAAGTACATCTGCCATCATAAAAGTGCATTTATCATCATAAAAGTGCATCTATCCATCATAAAAGTGCATCTATCCATCATAAAGTGCATCTATCCATCATAAAAGTGCATCTATCCATCATAAAAGTGCATCTGTCCATGATAAAAGTGCATCTATTCATCATAAAAGTGCATCTATCCATCATAAAAGTACATTTGTCCATCATAAAAGTGCATCTATCCATCATAAAAGTGCATCTATCCATCATAAAAGTGCATCTATCCATGATAAAAGTGCATCTGTCCATCATAAAATTGCATCTATCATCATAAAAGTGCATCTGTTCATCATAAAAGTGCATCTGAATATAATGCCATTATAAAGCTTGGAAGAGTCAGGACAGTTTTTAATATAACTTCAATTATATTTGTCTGTCAAAAAAAGAGTATCATAACACCTAGGATGACTTAAGGGTGAGTTTTAATTTTATTTTTTGGGTGAATACCCCTTTAAGGCAACTAAGGCATTTCAGCCGCAGCCATCTTTCAAACAGCTGTTTCAGTCAAATCTCTTTGAATGAGAAAACATCAAATTCTCCAAAGCTGTATTCAATTTCATATCTAAAATGCCAATGAACTCAGCTGCAGTGACGCAAGACTTTACTAGCCAGCGATTGGCTGTTTTATTCAGTTTAATTTATTTACAACAGTTCACTAGTGACTTAAAAAATCAGTCTTTATTCTCTTCAATAATTTCAGGTCAAAAATAATTTTAAAAATCTGTTTTGATTCTCTTCAATAATTTTAGGTCAAAAATGTGTTACACAACTGAGCTCTGAGCATCTGAGAGCATCAGTGTGTATCAGGAGAGACGCAGAGTAAGCGAGGTGTTAAACAGCAGATAGAGTGACTCATTTGTCCGGCCGTGACATGCAAGGCTTTGGAAATATTTTCCAGCAACACCCTGCAGTCTAATACATGCTTAGATCTTTGCCTTTCTAACCGCTTATGCTTTTTAACGGGAAAATAAGCCACAGAGAGAGAAACCACCAAGTAAAGAGCCAGAACACTGTAGCAACCACCTAGCAACGGTAACTAGGGGAATTAAGTTTTGTGAACAAACTTTGATGCTGGCTTGAGAAAAGCCTAGCTTGAAAGTTGGATGGGTGGGTGGGTGGGTATATGGATGGATGGATGGATGGATGGGTGGATGGGTGGATGGGTGAATGGATGGGTATATGGATGGATGGAAGGGTGGGGGATGGATGGATGGATGGATGGATGGATGGATGGATGGGTGGGTGGGTGGATGGATGGGTGGGTGGGTGGATGGGTATATGGATGGATGGATGGATGGATGGGTGGATGGATGGATGGATGGATGGGTGGGTATATGGATGGATGGGTGGGTATATGGATGGATGGATGGATGGATGGGTGGATGGATGGATGGGTGGATGGATGGATGGATGGATGGGTGGGTATATGGATGGATGGGTGGGTATATGGATGGATGGATGGGTGGATGGATGGATGGATGGATGGATGGATGGATGGATGGATGGGTGGATGGATGGGTGGATGGGTGGGTGGGTATATGGATGGATGGATGGGTGGATGGATGGGTGGGTGGGTATATGGATGGATGGATGGATGGATGGATGGATGGGTATATGGATGGATGGATGGATGGATGGATGGATGGATGGGTGGATGGATGGATGGATGGATGGATGGATGGATGGATGGATGGATGGATGGATGGGTGGGTGGGTATATGGATGGATGGATGGGTGGATGGATGGATGGATGGATGGGTGGATGGGTGGATGGATGGGTGGATGGGTGGGTGGGTATATGGATGGATGGATGGATGGATGGATGGATGGTGGATGGATGGATGGATGGATGGATGGATGGGTGGATGGGTGGATATATGGATGGATGGATGGATGGATGGATGGGAGGATGGATGGGTGGGTGGGTATATGGATGGATGGATGGGTGGATGGGTGGATGGATGGATGGGTGGATGGATGGGTGGATGGGTGGGTGGGTATATGGATGGATGGGTGGATGGATGGATGGATGGATGGATGGGTGGATGGATGGGTGGGTATATGGATGGATGGATGGGTAGATGGAGGGATGGATGGATGGATGGATGGATGGGTGGGTGGGTGGATGGATGGATGGGTGGATGGATGGATGGATGGATGGATGGGTGGGTGGATGGATGGATGGGTGGGTGGATGGGTGGTTATAATTTATTGGTTATCATTATTGTGTTAATAATGTTGAATGAGAATAAGTTCCTCTTGCAGGATCTCTTCTCTTCTCTGAAGATGAGGGCGGGGCTTTAACCTGTCACTCACATGAGATCAGACAATAGCAAACCACAACCATCCAATCAGCCAATCCATTCCCCACACACACAATCAAGCCCCGCCCACATTTGTTCTTGTTCCAGAGGCGTTTCACTCGATATACGGCACAAAAGAGGAGAAAAGAGAAGCATATCTTTCCTTTCATGACTGTAATACAGCAACACTGAATCGTCCTCTTCAAAGCGTTCAGTATCTGAGCATCAAATCATTATCAGATTGAACCAAAGGCATCTTCAGCTGAGCTGTCATCCTCATCTCTGATGCACGACCCCGATCCAGCAGAGATGAAGAGTTCACCACAAACATCTTACACCCTAACTATTATTTCATACGTCTAGGTTGAGCACTTGCACCGTTGTAAAATATGGCCGCATCATAGTACCTATTTTATTAAAGTCACACAGGTTTGAATGACATGTAAATACATCAAAAACTTCTTGAAAGAGGATAAATGAACGTGAGAAGCAACGCTGCACATTGGGTTTGTACTGGGAAAAGTGATGGCGAAAGTTACTTTTAAAAGTAATGCGTAACAATATTGTGTAACTCCCTAAAAAAAGTAACACGTTTTAACTAAGAGTAACTGTTTCGTAGTTACTTTTGTAGTAGTCACTTTTGCGCCACTTTTCCTCACCTCGATGAGCTTGATTGTTTATTTTATAAAAACAAACAAAAAAGGTAAATGTAAAGGCCCTTTCAGACCAAGATCTCACTAAACGCTTCTGGACCGAAGGATCTCCAGTGTTTGTGTGTGTCGGAGACTTCTGCAAAGTGTGTGGAGCTGATTAACTTTCATTAGATGAAGAATTCCAATAACCGGCTCATAATGAAGACGCTAATCCTCACAATAAGCACACGCCAGCAAGCTTACAGCGCTCCGCTGACAGTGGAAACACTGGCTTAGTTTACGCACGAAACTGACCCTGAACAGTCACATATCCGTCACATTAAGAGTCTGAGTCTATCCTCGTCTCTGCTCCAGCGATGGCTAACGGAGATGTGATGCGTCCCAATACGCCATCCGTCCTAAATAGTGTTCGAAAACACGGCCCAAATCGTAGTATGTTGAAATGAGTATCCAAAGATACCGTGTATCCAGATCCGCGAACACGCTAGCGGCTAATATTGCCCACAACCAGTGTTGGGTAAGTTACTCTACAAAAGTAATGAATTATATCGGGTCTATAGTTAACCAAGACGTGACATGATGGCTATTGTATGCTGGGTATTTTAGGGCGCAGTAAGTATTGGAATAGCCTGAGGCTGTTACCTGAGGAGGTGCAGGGCTGCGTGTCATGTGACCCGGTGTCTGCGTGTCTGTAGACCAGGTGAGGTTTGTTGTGCTCTTCCTCATACTCGTCTTCATCAGCGCTCAGCAGCGGCTCCATGAACACCTGACCGCTGTGTGTCGTGAACGTGCCGATCTGAAGAAGAACAGCAGAACAACACACATGAGGATCCACCAATCCCTTACTTTATTAAGTGATCAGACACGCAATATTCACCCGCTGGAAACATCTATTATTATTATTATTATCTGCAGATTCATTTCACAGTGAACTGGAAAACCAAAACATCTTTTATTATGTGGATGTTCCTGCTGTTTTATTAAAGTGCTTTTAAGACGGTCCACTTTATACCTAACAACACCTTATGTCAAGTGGCATATAAATACATAAATAAATAAATAACAGTACAAAATAAATCAACAGTAAAAATAAATAAATATGTTATATTAAAGGGGTGGTAAAGTATGATTTCACTTTTCTAACTTTAGTTAGTGTGTAATGTTGCTGTTTGAGCATAAACAACGTCTGTAAAGTTACAACGCTCTAACATTTGTGAGTCAGCTCAAACTTTAGCATCCTTCTTTTCACATGCAATAGAAAGTCACTCTGTGTGCATCTCACAACAGTTCCTGTAGATTATCCTGACAGAATATGCTAATTGAAGATAGTTAACTCCAACATAAATTCATCAACTAACCATTCAGAGACGACCTGTTGTATTCTACATGTTGTCACTTCTCCTTGAGTCTCTCCATCTTCCGTTTTAACATAAAAGGGAGAACAGTTTCTGTCATTTTAGCGTGCCGTGTCTGCGTGAGGTAATCGCAGTTGATAACACACGCGAGCTCTTGAAACACCGCCCTCTGCAGCAGCTCATTTGGATTTAAAGGGCCAGACACAAAACGTTGAGTTTTTGCAAACCCTCAAAAATTAACAACTTTAACATGCTATATAAAAATATCTGGGGGGTATTTTGTGCGAAAACTTCACACACACACACACTCTGGGGACATCAGAGGTTTATTTTACATCTTGTGAAAATGGCATTTTACCACCCCTTTAAACAAAATGAGTTAAAAATTAAAAATGGTTAAAAGTTGACAAATGAAAAGTAAAAAAAAAAAAAAAACTACAATAAAAACTAAAATAATAAAATAAATAAAAATTATAGTAAATATTTATATATATATATATATAAAGAAATAAATAAACAAAAAGTTAACAAAAATAAATAGTGAATGAAATAAGTTTAAGATTATGATATTAAAAATGAATAGTAAAATAAATAAATAAATGTTGCAAAGTTAAAAAGTAAATAAAATGAACAGTACAAAAAATAAATAAATAAATAAATACAAATGAATAGTAAAATAAATAAAAATAGACAGTACATAAAATAAAAAAGTAAAATAAAATAAATCTAAATAATATAAATGAGCATAAATGAATGTTAAAAAAGACTAAACAAATAGGCCTAATAAATATTGAGGCAAAATGATTGGCACTCCTTTATGATCCCATCACGGTTTATCACCACGGCAACTCGTGCAAACACAGATTCCACAGTCCACACACACACATACACCCGACGGGAGCCGCTTGTTTCAGGACACGGTATACTATGGAAAACATACCAGCAAATAATGAAGTGGAAGAATGCTTGTGTTTGCTTGAACGAATGGAAACATGTTTGACATGAACTCTATTAGTTTTCCAGCGCGTCACGTGCCGCTCTACATGAACATCTAGATCACAATCTCTGTCAATCATGTCACGTCACCGGCCTGGTATTCTCTTCCCTCGGAAACAAATGTCATTTCTGCCTCGTCCCACGGCGTGACCTTCACATGAAGAGCCTCTTCCACAGAAAGACACTATTACATCACACACCGACTGCCAAACACACCAGATGACACCTAGAAAACCACTAAAAGTATCATAGCAGTCGTCTCTGTGATCAGTGCACTGTATCTGACAGATGTGAGGAAAGGCTTGAATGTTGTGCATGTAGTTTTGAATGACAGCAGAGACGAGTAAAAGCGTCTCATTAGGATGATGTCACTCAACACAGCCTTCATTAGGCCGGTTCACAGGATGAGTGTGTAAATATTTCCGTCTCAAACCTCCTGACAGGCAAACACTCGCTCAGAGCCGATGGAAACATGACAGAGCTGTCCCTCCTTCACACACGTGCACTCGCACAAACACACACATATGCCTGAGGATACAGGACTGATGGACACACACACACACACACTCATTCATCTCATGAAATCGGTCAAGAAAAAGTCTAGCTTATATTGTATCACTATCAGCAAGTACATTTTGCAAAAAAAATGAAGATAAAATAAATAGTCTATTTTTAGGACCAGTGAGATTTTTTGCATTGTGACATTATTTATCATATTAATTAAAAACATTTGCTCTCCATTTTTATATGAGATTTAAATGACACAAAATTTTTTACTTTATTTTTACTGCAAAAAAAAATGTAACTTACTTTTTTTTTCTTCAATTCTGCAAACTATAATTATGGTTAAGTATATTTATATAAATATAACACTGAATTGGTAGAAATAAATATATAAAACATTAAGCAAAAAGTATTTTTACTGGGCTTAATTTTGTAACAGGCAAAATGTAATTATATATAATATATATATATATATATATATATATATATATACTGTATGAAGAGTTCAGATGCAAAAGCCTCTAAATGCCATTTGAAATTTTCTTCTAAAATGACCATTTTTATCAAGCTTGTATATTTAAGTTCAGTAATTTCACTTAAATGACAATTAATAGGTAATCTTCATTGCCATTTAAGTGAAATTACTGAACTTAAATATACAAGCTTGATAAAAATGACCATTTTAGAAGAAAATTTCAAACGGCACTTAGAGGCTTTTGCATCTGAACTCTTCATATATATTTATATATATATATTATACATATTAATTTGTGCAAAATATAATTATATATAAATAATAATTATATATAATTGCTAAATGTATGTATAAATGAGTATATAATGTGTGTATAATACTTTGTATAATATAATATATTATAATATAATATAATATAATATGTAAAGTGTACATATAATATATATATATATATATATATATATATAATAAAGGGTGTAATGTGAACATTTTATCTTCACATTTCATTAATGATTTTTAGTTGTATATATATATATATAAATTCATAATTTAATATTATAATAAAAATAGATATTTAATGTTATGATTCATCCATGTACTTTAGTATGACATATTTGTGTATAATTCTGCAACTGTAAGTCTGTCCAGATCAACACTTCAGTTTCCCTGTAAACTCATCGGCTGGTGCCAGCTGTGGGCATCAGAGGTCACCCGAGGTCACTCACACACACACACACACACACACATCTGTCCTGCAGGTTATTACGCTCAGGTGAGGACAGATGCTGTCAGCGGTCTGAGGAGATCAGCGCACCTGACCATCTTATTCTTTAACACACGCTTTCTGTGCACTGAAGGATTATGGGTCGGTCCGTCACATCACTGTCACTGATTCTCTCGCATCCCATGATGCAATGCTTCTGACTCCTAGAGTCTCTGTCCTCTGTTCGCGGTCTAGCAGGACTGGAAACTGTTGAGAAACGGACATCGGTCGGCCCTTTCTGAATCTGATGTCAAGCCACATGTGTGTGTGAACTGGGTGCAATTATTAAACTGATCAGATTACAAAATCAACTAAACGGTTAAGAATTTCAACTTGTTTGTTTATTAGTGGTTAAGGGGAAAATAGCAAAATATGAAAAGAAAACAAAGTAAATAAAAGGATTTTTTTTCAATTTCAAATAAAAAAAGTCTCTTCTTGACATTTTAACATAAAAATCATAATTTTAAAATGGCAAATAATGCACTATTATGACAGTAATATTTATTATAAATATGACAGTAATGTTCATAATTAAATATGGTTAAAATCTTATTTTTAAATAATTTTAACATGTTTTTTGTTCAAAACTATTTTTATGGTGAGAATTTTTTGGAAATAATATTAATAACATGGATTTTAAAAAAATTACAAAAGCTTTTAAAGTTTATCTTCAATTACAAGGAAAAGTATCAAATTAATTCCTGCCTCTGGACACTGGAAACAAAAATCTACATGCTTCAGTTTTAAAGTTGTTAAAGTTAAAAACAAAATACCATGTTCTAAAAATCTATTTAAAAAAAAAATTTTTAAGTTTGTCTTCAATTAAAAAAATCTAAAACCAATTCTGGTCTCTGGACACCATTAGAAATATTTTTTTTATAAAACTCTTTGTTTTTAACAAAGAAAACAAACTTCTTTGTTTTTTAAAAAAAATTAAAGGTTGTAACTTTAAATCGAAACAGCTGAATGCATCATCTTTATGTCTATGTTGCAACCCTCCCTCAAGCTGTTTACGACACGAGCGGGACGAAACGTGCGTTCCTGACATGAGAGACTGATGAACGACTTGATGCGACCCCGTGACCCCATCCGACTAAAGAGCGTCCTGCAGGGACTAACGACCTCTATTACCTGAGATCACTAATTACTGGTGAGTGTATGCGAATGGGTCAGGAGCACATCCTCAGAGACGCCCTGAGGCCGGCCAGCCAGAGCAAACGGACTATATTTGACAGACTAGACAGCTGGGTGTCATATGAACCGAATCACATCCGTCCATTCTGTCCCACACCAGTCACTTCTCTAAAATAACTAGCAGTCATGCTTAAACACACAGTCATGCCTTGAGAAGAATAACTCAACTAAAACAAAGCCTAATCCTCACAGAGAGAACTAATCCTGAACTCATGCAATTACCAACGAGCTTCTCGCTAGTAAAAACTAGTAAAAAAAACTTTAATTAACCGCTTCACTTCTAGTAATCTGCTGTGACATCACTAAAAACAACCAAAATTGACAAACACTCCAAGTTACTAGTCACCAGCCCATATGTTTACCCTGACAGCAACATAGTGTCGGCCCAGATCCGGCCCACATCTGGAACATGAGTTTATGCTCACTAGTCCAGTCCATTATAGGAGAACAAAGGTGAACAACTCAACAAAACCAAAGCCTAATCCTCACAGAGAGAACTAATCCTGCATTCATGGCGGTATTAACGTAATTACCCAGAAAGCAACACTGTGTCGGCCCAGATCCGGCCCACATCTGGTATACTTGAAAGTCCACCTGTACCGGATCTGGGCCGACACTGTGTTGCTGTCTGGTCTGGTTATGAGTTTCCTGCTAGTAAAAACTTGAAAGTTGGAAACACTCTGACATATCTGCTGTGATATCACAAAAAAACAACCAAAAGTGGAGCATTTAGCAGCCTGTACATGATACTAGTTACCAACCTACATCTAGTAATGTAAAACTAAAATATCTAGCAGTTTAATTATGACAATTACAAGTTGAGAAACACTCTTGACTAATCCCAGTCAACTATTGCGACATCACAAAAAAATAGCTAGCAAACACATCGGGCCCTGTTTAAAGCTCACGGTGCAAGTGCACTCAAGTCGTCCGAATCCACTGTTGCCAGTTTCACGACGGGATAAATGGTCGGCGCTCCCGGCGCATGACCTAAACGGGTCGTCTCTATTCTCTTAACGAGTGTTTTGGGCTTAACATTAAAATTAACCAACCGGGGTCTCTTCCATTCCCTTTAAAAGCCAGTTGCGCCAGTTGAGTGTGTGTGTGCGTGTGTGTGTGTAATAACGCGGGACGCGGGTTGTGGACCCGCCTATTGGCTCATACTAACGCGCTCTTTAAATAACAAAACAAAAACAGCGCCATTGATTTAGACCAGGTTAAATAGACACAGTCGCCTCAAAATATCAACAATGCTCCTAAACACTGTTCTCAGACCAGCAGCCTATGGGTGCACAAATGCATTTGCTATTTACACAACGTTGAGCAGGACCTGAAAATGATAGTAGCGTCGGGCTGAAACTAGCAACAACAAAAAAACACTTGCCTGGCGCTGCATTGCATTACTGATTAATTACTAAACCCAGATCTTTAACCACAAACTCTCCAGTCCATTCTCTCATGCCATTGTTGAACTGCCCAGACAGCAACACAATGTCGGTACACGACATCCAGTACACGAGGATTCCACGCGGCCCAGATGTGGGCCGGATCTGGACCGACACGTATTTGTGATGTTAGCTAATAATCCAAGTTAACATCACAAAAAAACAACCAAAACAAAACACTTAATGCTACTAGTTATCCAGACTCTGAGTTAATACTCACCACTCCAGTCCATTCTCACATGCCCTTGTTGAACTGGTAACTATACTCATGGCTCTCATTGCAGAACATGAAATCCAAGGGGAGGAGTTGGATCCAGATCCTTCCATATACCTAAACCGACCCATCTCCGGCCCCTGACCCCTAATCCCCTTAAATCTGGATCTAACTCCACCCCCTGGATCTCGTTTACTGCAATGAGGTGCTACTGCATGAAACATCACATCAGCTGACAGATCTCTTGATACTCACTAGTCCCGTGCAGAGGCTGAAGACGGCGTGGTGTTCGCTGCGGGCGTTGACGTGTCCTCTGAAGAAACAGTGGCGCAGGTCGTCTCCGCGCTTCTCCTCGTCTCCCAGATGGAGCACCGTGTAGGCCGGAGCGATGAATCCCGAATCGGCGGTCAGGTTGAGGTGAAAGGCCTGACCGAACGCCTCGATCCGGTAATGAGCCCTGGAGATCTCCGCGTCAGCGCTACGCCTTCTCCTGCGGTAATGCTGTCGGTGCGGGAACGACTCGCCAAAATCATTCAAGCGCACTGGAGTGACGATCTCATACGACGACAGCTGTCTGATGAAGCTCTCTGAAACACACCACACATCAGTGTTACATCTCGGATGTTCATGTCAAATCAGGCTATTGGCACTGATGTTTCCATGAAGAAGCTTGAAAGTCTGAAGTCTCAAACAGTAGAGTAGCGCAAAGGTCATCATGGGTTTGATTCCCAGAGAAAGCAAGAACTGATAAGAGTGTTAATGTGTACTTCGGATATAAGCGTCTGCCAGATATAAATAATGTTCTTTACTGGGAACCTAAATGGCAAACCTTTATTTTCAAGAGTGTGTCGTTTTTGGACACTTGAGTGACTCTCGCCAGATTTGAATCAGCTGGTGTTGATGTGCTTTGAGTGGATGTATGAAGTCAAGTTCACACAGGTGTCCTAACAGAGGAACCACAGGTATAGAGAATCACACTAGCTAACCACAAACAAACACAATCCTTTACAAAACTACATCTATTGATATAGCATTTCAATCCTACAAACTTCTCTCTGTCAGATGTTTAGATTGTAACGTGTCTTTGTGTATCTTTCTTTATGATAAACTGCAATTTCTTTGTTTTTTTTTTTATCTAATGCAATGACATTTAGTCATTTTGAGTGTGTAAATACTTTTTTGGGCTAATACATATTTACTAAACATTTTAAAGACGCATAATACACTGCATACAGTTTGTAACTGAAGTGTCATTCATCGAGACAATATTTAGAATGCAAAACATACACAATTACGCGATATATAACAGCACACTAATCTGTTTATATGCACAAAAATACATTTTAAAATGTATTGTCATAGAAACCAAAACAAAGTGCTTATATAAGCGATTGTCAACCTATAGATTAGCCTGACGCGTGTCTGAGCTGTGTTTTGTGAGAGTCTTACCTTGTTTGTGGTGGAGTTTGTACGTGTGCGCGGTGCGTAAAAGCGCGGAGAGGTGCCACACGAGTCCCAGCAGCCGGAGCGCAGGACCCCGCATGATTCCCCGGCCTCTGCCTCTCTCTCTCTCTTCGGTTCCCCGGGGCTGGAGCGTGTCTACCGGCTCTCCTCCTTCTGCTGAAACACGATCCGATCCGCCGTCATTCCGTTAAAACACCCGCTCGGACCCGCTCATCTCGCGCACGGACCCGCGGCTCTCAGTCAGTCGGATCGGTGCCAGTGGGCTTCTTTTTTTTTTTTTTTTTTTCGCTCGCTGGCTCTCCATAGGACACCCCCCTAAACACACACACATACTGAGGCTCTTGTCACGCCCCCCTGCTCTACTGTAGACTCTAGACTCGACCACTGAATCAAACCACGTCAGAGTTCATTTCACCGAGACACATAAAACCCGCAGCAGTGACTGACCGCGACCCGTCGATAAACACAATAAACATCAACACAATGAGCTGTTAAAATAAAAGCTGCACCGCTTTGCATGTTAGTAAATTAATCAAATCAAACTAAGTTTATCAAATGCTCAAGTTTCTAAAAGACAGATAGATAGATAGATAGATAGATAGATAGATAGATAGATAGATAGATAGATAGATAGATAGATAGATAGATAGATAGATAGATAGATAGATAGATAGATAGATAGATAGATAGATAGATTTTGAATCCTAACAGACTGTTCAGAAAAGCATATGCCCTGATTATTCTCCGATCGCTGTGAGATGTGCAGTGTCTGTGTCCACATGTGTGTCTCCCTCGGGACACTTATTAGTGCGCATTAAACGTGCACTTGTTCTCCCGCTGGCTTTACAATCCACGTCTCACCCTGTGAACGGCCTGTAAACGTTCCTAACGCAACACATATGAAAATGCTCATTAAGGAGAGATATTATTAGAATAACACACACACACACACACACTAAAAAAATGCTGGGTTGCTTTAACCCAAATGTTGGGTTAAAAATGTAATTTAAAAAATTACATTTGAAAGTGAAAGTTGAAGTTGGGTCAAAATTTTAGATTACAGTTTTAACCCAATATTTGAGATTGTCCATATTTTACCCAAATTTGGGTTAAAACAACCCATTTAGAGTGCAGTCTCACACACATTATAGTCGAATATCATTTTATCATTAAAAATCTATAACAAACTTCTTTTTGAGAAGTGTTCAGCTTATAAGGTGTATGTCTGTGTTGATATTTCATATCTAATGCATGAGAGTGCGCGTTAGTGGTCGTGGCTGACTGGACTATTGGATGTTTATAGGGCTCAGTGTGTCTCTGCTTCACTGACTGCGTGACAAAGGCCTTTCGTCCATCAACTCACATGTTGGGACTCATATTGCGGGACACTCACAAGCTTCCGATCCTCTCACTTGACCTTTGACCCCTTGAGTGCCCTTTGACCCTCAGCAGGAACCTGGGAAACCGAAAATTCAAACTTATTCTGCAATTCAGCCTGAAATATTAAAGAAAGTTTCATGAAGAAGAAACTCATAAGTTCTGAGGTTTCAACGGTCGCTTGATGTGATATGTTTCTACTTCGGGATTCAAAAAGCAGTTAGAGTGTGTTAGAGTGTGTTTATGGCCACAAGGAATTTTAAAAATTGCATTCGATAGCCAAAGAGATCATCTTACACATGCACTTCACAGTCCAAACACACTGTATATCAGTAACATGCTGAAGACCAGATTTATTGTGTAAATTTGTTAAGGCAGATTTGTTTAACAGCGTGCCAGAGGAACACAATCCTGCCAAGTGTGTGTGTGTGTATCAATAAGTATGTGTTTGTGTGTGCGTGCGTGTTTGTGTGAGTGAGTGAGTGTTTGTGCGTGTACGTATGTGTGAGAGATAGAGTCAAGAATAACGATAACTATAATAGCGTTCTGTTTATTATAAGCTAACTGTAGTTTTTTCATCCGTCACTTTAAAGCAGGATGGATTCTGATTGGCTCTCAAAGTTTTTATCGTTCATCGTCTAGAAAAGTTGGTTCTGAAAGTGATCATATAGTGATATCGTTTCTCTGTGCCGTTATCATATAGTTGTGCTGTGGACTCTGCTTTTCTTTATACACTTAGATCGATATTTCTTTCTTTACAGTAATCGTTATAGTCACTGTTAGTGTTATAGTTATCTTTCTTGGTGTAAACGAGCCTGTACTGTACTATATTTTCTCTCGTTTTCCAGTATACAAATATTTAAACATTCTTAAATCAATATACATTCACCCAAAATCCATCTACCAACCACCCGGAACACCTCAGAAACTTCTAACACCACTTTACACAAACACATTTTTTCCTGCTATTTGATCTTAAGCTGCTTTAGTGGATGTTTGTTTGGCGTTGCGGCTCTTTCTCGTCTCCTGAATCGCAGACGTCTTCTCCACTCGTCTTCCAGCACTCGGCTCAGTCACGGCTGGCTGCTGCTAAAGCTGTCTGCACTCGTCTACATGTGGAAGCTCTGACCTCAGCTCTATGGCCTCAGTAAATATGTGCTGTTAACATTACTGACACACCTTCTTGCTTTTGTGTGCTCGCTATTTAAACTTGTGTTAATGATCGACCCCGCTAAATGCTTCGGACAATGATTGTGCAATGATGCACAGCGGTGTTGCATGTTTATCATATTATTGACTAAATGAAAGTAAAAAACTACCAAAAAAATCTGTGCATTAAAAAAAAAATCAGATCATCATATTAAGGCCTGTTCACAATGAGACGAATTTCACGCACGATATTCGCCAACGTTTAACGCCTCGTGACTAAACAAAGGGCGCCCGACGCGTAAAAGCGTAATTTTTTTTTAAAAAAAACGCCTCGGATTCGTTTTTTTAGTTTGACGCTCTGCGTCAAAAACTATCCGACCAATGAGATTGCCGCTTTTGCTCACGTGTTTGGAGCTTCTGACGCTACAGTAAAACACAACTTGGGGGCACTCAACCATAGATGTCTTAGGGCGGAGTTTCTATCGTCATCACCGGCGGCCATCTTGTCACAGGCAAGCTGATGTAAGATGAGTGGTCAGCACAAACACAAATACTCTTATCTCATTGAAATCTTGACGGATTTACAAATGGTTTGGTTTCTTACAAACGTTATTAACGAGGCTATAATTATCTGGATGTTGATTTATTTATACACTTATTATTCATAAGTATGCTGTGTCATAACTGCATCTCTGACGATCATAACAAACCAAACCGTTTGAAAGTGGGTAGAAAATGGAGCAAGTTATGGTTATTTAAATAGTACATGTAACTTACCATTAACACAATGTTAGGAGTAAGCGAGCTACCTGTGACAAGATGGCCGCCAGGTGCAGATGTCGACCTCCATTGGCCAACAGGGTGTACGAGATATCTAGCCTTTATACAAATATCTATGCGCTCAACGGTCTTACCGAGCAAAACAAATAAAAATAAAAAATACTTTATGACCTTATGTACCCCCAATCCCTTTTCAGCGCTCATTGTCTTTTGTCTTCCAGTCTATATTTTCACAGTGATATGGGGGGGGGGGGGGGTGTTTAGGGGAAATGTTTGTTCTATATTGCTTTAAAGTTGTTTTGTTTACTTCAGTTTATTTAAGTCTAGCTAGATTATTTGTTAGAACAAGTTGATTTAGTTTACCCTTTAATTGAGACTTCTTATTTTTGGGTAAAATAAAACCCATTTTTTGTTGAAAATCCTGTGTCCTTGTGCCTTACTACTTGGCTATATCTGACATATGGTCAGCGAAAATCGCTTGGGTGTGAACACAATCACAAACACAAAATCGCTTGGGTGTTGAAAAATGCTGACGAATAACGCGCACTGATATTCGTCCCGGTGTGAACGGGCCTTTAGAGTGATTTCTGAAGGCCTGTTCACACCGGGACGAATTTCACGCGCGATATTCGCCGAGGTTTAACGCCTCGTGACGCTGCCACAAACACTGAGAATGCCTGACGAAGACGCTTGGTAAACAAATATCTCAACGTTTTTAAATCAATGTGAAGATTTATATCTGATGTCTTTTTGCTCCTTAAAGGATTTGTCAACTTTAAAATGAAAGTTTACTGATAATTTTCTCTCCCGCACGTGACGTCCTCCTAGATGTTCATGTCTTTCTTTCTTCACTGAGAAATCAGGATTTCTCCATAATAGTGACTTCAATGGGGTCCAACAGGTCGAAGGTCCAGATGTGAGTTTCAGTGCAGCTTGAAAGTCTCGACACGATCCAGCCGACTCGGAATAAGAGTCTGATCTAGACAAACCAGCGGACATTTATAACAAAATAAACTAACAAATGGACTAATCCTTTACGCAAATGTGTCTTGATTTAAGAAAGTTTAGACTTTCCACTGAAAGGCACAAGACACAGAGTAAGAAAATCATTTTTTGCAGTGTTTGCAGTGTGTAAGTCTCAAAGCTGGCGCCAGGCTTGACACCATATTCATCCTTTTTTACCATTCAGGAAAACAAGAGACCCAAGAGAGAGTAAGAGAGGAGTTCTTGTGAGATTAAGTGTTTAGGATGGATGGGCTTTAGATGCACTTAATTTAAAGTGAAAAATGCTGAGCCTCAGGGTCAAGTGAAAGATCGAGTCAGTTAGTCAGACGCTGACGGCCTCTCCGAGCTGAGCCAGCAAGAAAATCAATCACTTTCCAAGGCCTATAATGAATTACATTAATCCTTCTCAAGCTAATGGAATGAGATTCTGACGAGGGTTTCAAGACAAGTTTATAACAGAACAGTTTCAAGACAAATTTATAACCCTTCCACCTTCATACAGGTGTTCTCATGGTCCGAGATCAAGAGCTTCAGTCACCTGAAACCAGCGTTTCTCCTCGGATTAAGTCGCCCGTCGTCTTCCGTCCCGATTCCACATCCCTCGGAATGCGAAAGCCTGTCAATTCTCTTCCTATCCTTTCAGAGGCGAGTTCCCAGGCTTATCCCTGAAGACAGATTTGCGACGCTGTCAAAACAACTATCCTGAGATCTAAACTTCCCACCCCTGTGGTCTTACTCAACCTGTGGCTTTAAGAAGGGTGAGAAAGATTCCTGAAAGTGGATTTGTTGACAGTACGGCCTTCTATCCCGATGGCTCTTCGCATCTGTGAAAGAAACACACAGAACTTAAAGGGCGAAGAGAAGTGTCAGTCAATCAATCCAGCTGTTTGTAGATCTCTTGACCGTTCATTGGTCATATTTACTCTCGGAGAGTGTGTTGAATAACTTAGATGGGGCTAAATAA